GAGTTTCGCTCTTGTTACCCAGGCTGGAGTGCAATGGCGCGATCTCGGCTCACCGCAACCTCCGCCTCCCGGGTTCAGGCAATTCTCCTGCCTCAGCCTCCTGAGTAGCTGAGATTACAGTCACGCGCCACCATGCCCAGCTAATTTTTTGTATTTTTAGTAGAGACAGGGTTTCACCATGTTGACCAGGATGGTCTCGATCTCTTGACCTTGTGATCCACCCGCCTTGGCCTCCCACAGTGCTGGGATTACAGGCTTGAGCCACCGCTCCCGGCCCAAGTTACTTTCTTTTATCAGGATAAATCCCTAAGAAACAGTTTCACTGTGAAGTGCTCAAATGCAAGGCTTCTGGGAGCCCCTCCGGTCCAGGGCTCACGCCCTCAGAAGGGAAGCCTTCTGTCCCAGGCTGCAGACAGGCCAGGCGCTCTGAAACTGCACGAATGGGGCCACCCGGGAGCTCTGGTCCCGTCGAGCCTCTCCGGCCCAGGTCCCCGCCTGTAAAACCCGGAGGGTGCACTCAGACCTTAGGCGGGCGTTCAGTGCCCTGCAAACTTTAATTCCTGATATGCTTAGTGAGAGAAACTAAAACATTTGTAGGAGCGAAAAATCCCGACAGAATGGCCCATCCCCCTGTGGGCTGTCTGTTTGCCTCTCTGCCCACCCTATCCGTGGGAAAGCGGGGCTGCCAGGGCGGCTCCCGGCAGCATCTAAATTCTCAGATCGCAGGAACGCGGAAAAGCAAAGCAGCGGCTGGCGGAGCCCGCAGGCCAAGGTGGGGCTGCGGCCCGGGGGCGGGGCGAGGTTGGTCAGGGGGCGGGGCGAGGAGGGGTGGGGCGGGGCGAGGCTGGCCAGGGGGCGGAGCGAGGAGGGTCTGGGCGGAGTAGGTTGGCCGGAGGACTGGGCTAGGTGAAGTCAACCGGAAGGGGCGAGCCCGGACGGGTTGGGAGAGGCGGCCCAGGGGGCGGGGTGAGTCTAGGGGAGGGTCGGGGCTAGGCGGGCCCGGAGGTGAGGGAAGCCGGGGCCGAAGCGAGGCGGTCCCTGGGCACGGCGGGGCGGGGCTGGCCTGGCCGGGCGGTCCCCGGCGGGTCCCTGGAAGGCGGAAGGCTGAGGCAGAGCCGTGCCGCCGGGGCTGAGCGGTGGCTTCCCGCTCCGGCGCCCCCGTGCCCGCGCCCGGCGCGATGGAGGCGGCGCTGCTGGGGCTGTGCAACTGGAGCACGCTGGGCGTGTGCGCCGCGCTGAAGCTGCCGCAGATCTCCGCGGTGCTGGCGGCGCGCAGCGCGCGGGGCCTCAGCCTCCCGAGTTTACTTCTGGAGCTGGCGGGGTAAGGCCCGGGGCGGCCGAGGCTGCCTCCTTCCCCCTCGCACTGCCGCCTGCTGGGAGCCCGGGAGAGCCTCGGCTTGAAGTAGGGCGGGGACGCGCGGGCGTGGCAGCCGGGCGGCCGAGGGTGAACCAGGGAGCCTGTGGGCTCGGGGTGCGCCTTCCAGGCCGCCCGCGGTCATCGTTTCTCACCAAGACCCTCGTGGCACGGATTGACTGCGCATGCCCATTTTACAGATGAGAAAACAGACCCAGCAGAGGCCGCCCTCGGTCCGGTAGTGACAAAACCTGCCGGCCCTGAGCGAGGCCATTTGCACCTCCAGGCTGTCATATTTATTGTCCCTAAGCTCACCACGCTCCGTCAGCCTCTTTCTCGGGCCTCAGTTTCCTCACCTGTGAAATAAGGGGTTGAACTAAGAATGGATGAATCTTCTCTCCCAGTGGTTGGTGGGGAATCTTCCTGGCTATTTGATGAGATTCCTTGGGAGTGGGTCTTAAGACAACTGCATTTCTTGTAGAAAGACCTTTCATTACTCATCTGTAAGGGTGTTGCAGAGTCCCTGCAGCTGGGAATGGGTGACGGAGAGGTCAGTAAGTCCTTGATTCTCAGGCAGCTTCTAAGGCCTTCCTATTCAAAGTATTCCGCATGTGAGAGCACCAGACTTTTGGGGTATCATTTTCTGAGACCCAACAATAGGAAAACACATACCTGAAACTAGTGGTCTTGCCCCTTCCCCCTGGCCAAGCCTGGCTCTCGACTTTGCTCCCCACCATCACTCAGCGGGTCCAAAGGCTGGTCCTCCACACACAAGCCTTCCTGGAGCGGGGGTGGGCGGGGTGGTGGTGTCCGGGAATACAGGATGGGAAGAAGCCAAGTGGTGCGGGACAGAAAGAGAAGACCTCAGAGGTGGGAGGGTGAGGGGTCCCACCCAAGCTCTGGAGCCCACGCGGGCCCGATGGAGCTGGTCCCTGGGCACAGTCGTCCAATGCAGGGTCTTGAGGGGAAACTTTTGGGAAAGGCTTGCAGTGCGAGGGGCTGTGACACCTCCCAGGCTTGTGAGTGACTTTACCCTGCAGGAAGAGGGTAGAGGGGGTGTCCCAGGCTGGATGGCAGGGTTCAGAGGCACCCAGGGGATGGGGGCAGTATGTGTTTCAAGTTGGTGCCACCACCAGGCTGGGAGCAGAGAGGCCGGAGGGATGAGGTTGTGGCAAAGGACACAGACTGGAAGTGGCCTCTGTGACCACTCAGGTAGGAGAGGGGTCAAGGGCATGAAAGCCAGGAGTGGGTTTTGGCCTCAGCCCCTTGCTAGGTCCCTGACCTGGGGAAGCTGAAGCTGGACCCACGAAGGGAAAGAAGCCAGCCAGCCTATAGAGTCCCTCCTGCCATGGGCTCCTGGGCCTGCTTTTCTACCACCTTTGCACCACTGCTTGAAAAATGCAAACCCTCAGAGGGGACACGCAGGTGAGGGCTCATATTAGATCTGCCAGCTGTCACCTCTCAGCTCACCTTGGTGAAAGCCCAACCTCTGGCAGTGGACAGGTCTCCCTGGGCAGGGGAGCCCAAGGTGGGGGTGGGGTAGTGGCTTGCTGCCATCCCTCCCGGCCTGTCTGAGGGGCTTGCTGTTGATCACGAGCAGGGAAAGGGGGCTCTGTCAGGGCTGGTGCACCAGCTCTGCAGCCCTCAAGCCAGGGCCAGGCACACTTCTGTGAACGGGCTTGGCTGTGCAGGGCGAGCCGCAGTGTCAGCCTCTCCCGGAAGGCCGGCTGGAAGGGATCAGGGCTCCACCCTTGCTGAGTGCCAATAGATTTGGTATCCACACCACCAGCATGTGATTCTAATGGTTGTCATTGCCTGAGCATTCTGCGTGTTGACTCTGTGCATTGTATAAACTATCATGAATTATAGTTTCATTTAATCCTCACAGCGGCCTTAGGAGGTTGTTTTTGTCCCCAGACGACGGGAGCCCGAGTTAGGGTGGTAAGGAGCCTGTGGCAGCAGCAGGCTGGGCAGCCCAGCAGGGTCCTGGCCCTCCAGTCTCCCTGCCTGCCTCCCTCATGCCCTTCCCAGCCTTGCCTGGGAAGCCTGCCTGGGGCTGGGGTGGTTAAGGGGCTGGCCCCATTCCCCAGGGAACCAGGCCTGCCAGCCAAGCCCCGGGCCCCTGACCAGACAGAGGCAGCCACGAGAGTTAGAGCATTAGAGCGAAGGAAGCCCAGGCTGTCACAGTCAGCTGCCTGGAGGGCACGGGCCCTCTTGGGGCTCCATTTGAGCAAACTAAGAGCCTGTTTTTGAGAGCATTGAGTCCATTGGAGCTTTTTAGTGTGGCTTGGTGTCAAGGGCAGGAGCCTTTGCCCAGGGACCTGCCCCTGCCACCTAGGAGCAATTCTTATGGCTGGGCCTTCCGCTCCCCTGGTTCCCAACCTTCCCGCTTCTCAGCCTTGCTGGTGGCCTCCTGCCCTGCCTCCAGGGCTCTGCTGGGCTCTGCTTCCCATTGCTCTCTGCTTCCCTCTGCTCTCTGCAGCCTGGAGCGTCCTGGAGGACAGGACCCATCGAACCTGTCCTTTCTGCAGCCTTCCATGGACAGTGGCCTTCCCCCCCGGCAGCCCCTTAGGCTATAGGAGCCTTGGCCTCTGGGTAGGGTGCCTTTGGACCCCACCCCTTGCTCCAGGTCACTTGCTCCCCAGCGTGGGTGAGGTATATTTTGTTTAACCCTCTAGCAGGTGTTGAGGGAGGAAACTCCAGTGGAGCAGATGGGAATGGAAGCAAATGGGGCTGTGTCAGATGCCCAGCTAGCATGATTTTATTATGATGAGCATTTTAGCGATTACTTATTAATTAAAAGAAACTTTAAAGGGCCAGGCATGGTGACTCATGCCTGTAATCCCAGCACTTTGGGAGGTCGAGGCGGGCAGATCACCTGAGGTCAGGAGTTCAAGACCAGCCTGGCTAACATGGTGAAACCCCATCTCTACTAAAAATACAAAAATTAGCCAGGCGTGGTGGCGCACACCTGTAGTCTCAGCTACTCGGGAGGCTGAGGCAGGAGAATCAATTGAAGCTGGGAGGCAGAGGTTGCAGTGAGCTGAAATTACCCCACTGCACTCCAGCCTGGGCGACAGAGCAAGAGTCCATCTAAAAAAAAAATTAAAAACTAAAGACACTGCCCACACTTCCCCAGGCTGCAGGGGCAGCGGGGAGTTTGAGTCCCAGGGAAAGCAGGGAACAGAGGACAGAGCCTGCAGGGGCAGTGACGGCTGCATCTAGGTCGGCGTTAGGAAGTCCAGGCTCTTCATCTCGTATGTTCTTGATGTCTTTGGCCTCCATTTCCCCAAGTGGTCTGTGAGATGTGGAAGCCAGCATGGATGACCCCTGGAGGTGAGAACGGGCTCTGACATTCCCAGATTCTCATTCCTGGCCTGCGGACTGTGGCTGCATCCTAGGGGTGGGCACACAGTTCAGTGGTGAAGACCCCCATAGCCTTTGTTCTGGCGCTTTCCTTCTGCACCCCACGGCTGGGGTGCAGCCTCCCTCTCTGCTAGTCCCCCTGGGCTTACTCTCACAGGGGAACAGAGGGCTGCTTAGGAGGCTGGCAGGAGGGGAGTCCCTGCAGCCCGGCTGGGCTGGGCAGAGGTGCTGCTTGTCCCTGAAGCTGGGAGGTGGCCCAGCTGCAAAGCAGCCAGGGGTGGGAACACTGCTGGGCATGCTGGGGGCCTCTAATTGAGGACCAGGCCTGCGGGAGGCCCTCGTGCTCAAGGCAACACTGGGCTCTGGCCTCCCGTCCTATGTCCTATGACCTCCTCCAACTCTGCTCCCTGCTAAGTTGTGCACTGTCAGAAACAGGCCAGGGAGGCATAGACTGTGAATGGGGCTTTTCCAGGTTCCTTCCCAGCTTAGCAGATCCGGAGACCCAGGGCCCCCTTTCCTGTGCATTGAAGTCTCATGGCTCCAGCTCCCTTTTCTTCCTTTCCCGAGTGGTCTGAACACACAGGTGAGAGGCAGGGTGTTGGGACAAGCAGGCAGGCCTAGACGACTATGGGGATTCCGGTCCTGAGGGAGGAGACGGCTGGGTGTGAGCCAGGGAGGCAGGAAGCTCTGCCTTTTCTTCTGAGAAGGTGGGACCCTTGGGACTTCCCAGCATCCACACAGAGCTGGAGTCTTCTTAGAGACATTGAGGGTGGTTCTTAATGCTTTTCCACACTGCGCTCTCAACAGGGCAGCTCTTCTGGAAGGCAACTGGAGTATCCATGTGCTGTTCTCTTAAAACATGTCCACAGACTCCTGTCCAGGGATAGCTGCAGCCCCTCGGATCCTCACGCCTCTCAGCTTCTCAGGGTGGAGGGCAGATGTGTGCAGCAGCTGAGGGGCAGCTGCCGGGGTCAGTGAGCACCCAGCGTGGCAGGCAGGCCAGCAAGTGTGGGCCTAGAAGGCCCAGTCTCATATTCCCTGCTCAGGGATTTGCCTTCTGTAAAAATCCTTTGTAAGAGACCATCTCAAGGCACTGGACAGACAGTGGCCCGGTACCCGGTAAGTTCTGGATGCTCCAAAAATTGTATAGATGATTCAACTGAATTCTGTCTATTTTGTTCTAAACTGCCTTCTTTAACACCGGGGAGTCCACACCACCACTGCGAGGATTCAGCAAACTGACCTGTGTTCTGGGTGCCTGCCAGGCCCCAACGGCTGCATTTTGGGGCAGCCGTGTGGACCTGTGCCCTCCTCTCTCCAGGTTCCTGGTGTTTCTCCGCTACCAGTGTTACTATGGGTATCCGCCACTGACCTACCTGGAGTACCCCATCCTCATCGCACAAGGTAACAGCCCCTTCCCTGTCCGATGGGCTGCTGCGGGTCTCCCCTGCCTCCCTCACTCGGAGCCTCTCTCTCTCTCAGATGTCATCCTCCTGCTCTGTATCTTTCATTTTAACGGGAACGTGAAGCAGGCCACGCCCTACGTCGCCGTGTATCCTTTCTGAATCTGAACCAAAAGTGAGAACGAGGTTATTTGCAAATAGTGTGTACTATCAAGTGGGCTCCTTTACCAGATGAATATTTTTTGATTAAACTAAAAAAAAAAAAAAAAATCCCAAATGCAAATGTGTCCACGCACACTAGAGATGCCCTCAGTAGAGCCCCTGCTGCCCCTCCAAGATCAGCATGCCCTGGGCAGTGCCAGCAGGCCCGGTGGAAGGCAGCCTGGATCTCCCTGCTGGGTGTGCAGAATGGTAGAGTCCATTCCTGCTAAGTGCGGTCAGAATGGTAGAGTCCATCCCTGCTAAGAGCAGCATTGTCCAGCTGCGTAAGTTCATCTGAGACGTTTCTTCCTGCCCTGATAATGTCCCCCAAGGATGGGAAGCAATAATAATGAGAGTGTCTGGTGCTTCTCAAGATGTTAGCTTAGAGGCTGAGCCTGGAGGTCTGAGCGGCGGTCGGTGGAAGCCGGGTCAGCTGACACGTGTGTCCACTCAGTGGCATTTCCTGGCTTCATTTCAGTTCTCTTTGTAAAGACTCACTAGTTGAACATCACACTCCTTAAAAAGCCAGGAGAAGTGGTTTTTTTTTTTTTTTTTCCAGATGGTCTCACTTTGTGGCCCAGGCTGGATTGCAGTGGTGCCATCAAAGCTCACTGCAGCCTTGACCTCCTTGGTCAAGCTTGATTGCCTTGATCAAGCAATCCTCCTGCCTCAGCCTCCCGAGTAGCTTGGACTATCAGAGTGTGCCACCATGCCCAGTTAGTTTTAAACATTTTTTGTAGATATGAGGTCTCACTATGCCAGGCTGTAAGATGTTTTAACCTTTTTTTTTTTTTTTTTTGAGACGGAGTTTTGCTCTTGGCTGGAGTGCAGTGGCGTGATCTCAGTTCACCACAACCTCTGCCGCCTTGGGTTCAAGTGATTATCCTGCCTCAGCCTCCTGAGTAGCTGGGATTACAGGCATGCACTACCACACCCAGCTAATTTTTATATTTTTAGTAGGGATGGGGTTTCTCCATGTTGGTCAGGCTGGTCTTGAACTCCCCACCTCAAATGGTCTTCCTGCCTAGGCCTCCCAAAGTGCTGGGATTACAGGCATGAACGGCCGCTCCCGGCCCAACAAAGCGTTTTGAATGGCAGTAGCTGTCAGCCTGTCCTGCCACATCCATGAAATGGCTTGAGCTGTTTCTTCCCATGCCTTCTTCAGAGTGGAGGACGGAGGGCAGAGCCAGGCCTGTGGCCCAAGTGACCTCAGTGCAGGCCATGAGAATGTGGGTGTGGTGTGAGGGGAACACCTGGGCTGGAGTCAGGCGGGACAGGTCCCCACCACGTCAGGGGTGGCTTCAGCATATGCCACAAACTCTACGCTGCATTTCCCCCATCTGTGGCATGGGAACCTAATGCCTACATTTTAGGGACGTTGTGAGAGCTAGAAGTACCAGGAACACAGTCAAGCTGAGGAATGACAGGGTCATGGTGGTGATTTACCAGAAGGGGAGCTCTGCAGCCTTTGTCTCTGGAGGGGGCTGGGTTCCGGCTGAGTCCTGACCCTCTGCTGTTTCCCCGAGTGGTAAGTTCTGCTGCCTCAGTTTCTCTCTGCAGAAAGAGGGATTGCATAGCTATACTGCACCTCAACACTTCACCATTGGTGCCAGCTGGTTAAAGGTTTTGGTAAACAGTGCTTTGAAGATGGAAAGCATGATACGATTTACTTTTGAAATAAAATGCCACAGCTTTGTGCAAATGGCGAGACTGCAGATTAGAAAATGTGGGCGCTGGTGGCACCGGGAGATGATCACGTAGCTGGATGCCGATGGCGATTCTGTAATATCAGCAAGATGCTTATAATCTCCCATTGGATGTGATTTACAGAGAGCAAAAGAATTGGGTTGCCATATTAATGAATACTTTTAAATATAAGTGTGTCACCAATATTGCATGGAATATACGTTTACTGAAAATTGTTGGCCAGATGCAATGGCTCATGCCTATAATCCCGCGTGTTGGGTGGTTGAAATGGGAGGATCGTTCGAGGCCAGGAGTTTGAGACTAGCGTGGGTAATGTAGTGGAATTCCCCAGTGCTACAAAAAAAAGAAGGAAAGAAACTGAGCCAAGCATGGTGCCTCACACCTGTCATCCCGGCTACTTGGAAAAAGTCATTTGTTTTCCACCTGAAATTCAGATTTAACTGGGTGTCCTGTATTTTTTATTTGTGAAAACTGGCAACCCTACAAATAAATTGTCTGTAGGATCTCAGGGGCTCCTACTATTGGTCAAATTTTATAAAATGTATATTCAGAATACACAGAATGAGGTGGGATAGAACAGAATTGGTTGGGGGAGGAATCACAAAAGTTAGTTTTAAAAATCGTGTTAGTGGCTGTGCACAGTGGTTCATGCCTGTAATCCCAGCACTTTGGGAGGCCTAGGCGGGTGGATCTTCTGAGGTCGGGAGTTCGAGACCAGCCTGACCAACATGGAGAAACCCTGTCTCTACTAAAAATGCAAAAATTAGCTGGGTGTGGTGGCGCATACCTGTAATCCCAGCCACTTGGAAGGCTGAGGCAGGAGAATTGCTTGAACCCAGGAGGCGGAGGTTGCCGTGAGCTGACGTGGCACCATTGCACTCTAGCCTGGGCAATAAGAGCGAAACTCCATCTCAAAAAAAAAATTGAGTTAGTGTTTTAAAAACAGGATTCCATCCAGCTAGCTTCAAACTATCTTCTGGTGTTGAGCAGGCTGTGAGTATTGAGTTCCATGAACTTTTAGCACAGGGCATTGTCTGTTTCAATATCTTTATTTAATTACTGTTTTAAATGATAATAACAGCAGTCTCTGTAGACATTTGAGAGGTAGATACGGTAAGGAATGTTGACTTCATTTTACAGATAAAAAATCAAAGTGGAAAGATGGCAAGTGACTTGCCCAAGGACACTCCAGAGACTCCTGGTCATCCCCATCCGGCCCCGGCTGTCTCCTGGCTGCTTGTTCGGCTCCCTAGCTGTGCTCTGTTTCTGTGGCATCACAGAGCTCCGGGCACATCCTGACTCCTGACTTTGCCCACACCAGCTATATCATCTTTACAACGGAGTTAGTGGGAAAAGTGGAAATCAGTAAACAGAAATTCACATCACACAAATTTTGCAGAACATTCCTGCTTTATAATGTTGGACTTCTCTTTTTATTTATTTATCTATTTATTTGAGATGAAGTTTCACTCTTGTTTCCCAGGCTGGAGTGCAGTGGCGCGATCTCGGCTCACCGCAACCTCTGCCTCCCAGAATCAAGCGATTCTCCTGCCTCAACCTCCCCAGTCGCTGGGATTACAGGTGCCCACCACCATGCCCAGCTAATTTTTGTATTTTTAGTAGAGATGGTGTTTCACCATGTTGGCTAGGTTGGTCTTGATCTCTTGACCTTGTTATCCACCTGCCTTGGCCTCCCAAAGTGCTGGGATTACAGGTGTGAGCCACCGCATCTGGCCCAACTTCTAAGTGCTTAGCTTTTTTTTTTTTTTTTTTGGGACGGGGTTTCACCATGTTGGTCAGGCTGATCTTGAACTCCCGACCTCAGGTGATCTGCCCGCTTTGGCCTCCAAAGTGCTTGGATTACAGGCGTGAGCCACGACGCCCGGCCTTAAGTGCTTAGCTTTTAACCATAAATCGGAGATGTCCGCATGATCAGGAATTCAGTGGGCAGTGAAAACCACTAGGAATGTCCCAATCCTAGGAAGCAGTCCATGAGCATGGGTGTCTTGCTTTCGTTCTTTTGAACTCTGAGCAGGTGTTCACTTACAACTCTTTTTGTCCCTCCAAATCTGGCAGGTTCTGGCGGTGCGTCCCCTGCTCCCCTCTGGCTTCCGTGTGTGGCTCTCTGTGGTCTTGGTGTGTGTCCCTGAGATGGGAGGGTGGCGGGGATGTTGGCCACCCACTGCTGTGTCCCTTAGCACTTGGTAAGATTGGGGTCTTCTTGGTTCGTCCTCGCCCTGCAGAAGTGGATCATAGACCTGGCCATGGTAAGGATTGTGCTTAAAAAGAAAGGAGGGGGAATAAGCTACCTTGGAGAGAACTTGATCGATGAAATGTTTAACCTGCTAATTTTTCAGCCATGCTGGGGGATAATGGGAATGAAAGTGAAGTGCTGTCCAAATATTAAAAGACATTCTTCTTATTTAAATGCTGGACAAAACAATGTTTAACTTCCTTTTGTTGGGCCATAGAGAACCAGATTGGAGAGGTGGCTAATAATTTACCTATTTATTTATTTATTATTTTATTTTATTTTATATTTTGTTGAGACGGAGTCTTGCTCTTGTTGCCCAGGCTGGAGAGCAGTGTCGCAATCTCAGCTCCCCGCAACCTCCGTCTCCTGGGTTCTGTCAAGCAATTCTCCTGCTTCAGACTCCTGAGTAGCTAGGATTACAGGCATGCACCACCATGCCTGGCTAATTTTGTATTTTTAGTAGAGACAGGGTTTCTCCATGTTGGTCAGGCTGGTCTCGAACTCCCAACTTCAGGTGATCTGCCCTACTCAGCCTCCCAAAGTGCTGTGAATACAGGTGTGAACCACTGCACCTGGCCTTATTTATTTATTTTTGAGACAGAGTCTTGCTCTGTTGCCCAGGCTGGAGTGCAGTGGCACAATCTTGGCTCACTGCAGCCTCTGCCTCCTGTATTCAAGTGATTCCCCTGCCTCAGCCTCCTGAGTAGCAAGGATTACAAGCATGTGCCACCACCATGCCCAGCTAATTTTTGTATTTTTAGTAGAGATAGGGTTTTGCCATGTTGGTCAGGCTGGTCTCAAACTCCTGACCTCAGGTGATCCACCTGCCCGAACCTCCCAAAGTGCTGAGATTCCAGGTGTGAGCCACAGCACCTGGCTGCTAACAGTTTTAAAATGAAGAATTAAACATCAGTTAAAGAGCTTCTTCTTAGGTTCTTAATTGCATGTTGGCCTTGTCCGGGAGGAGGGCTAATTATTTTTTCATACTTCAGCCAGAAATTTCCAAGGGGTTCTGAGGGTGGTTCAGGATGTGTTTAACCACAGATCTCTCCAAGGTGACAGAAGTGAACATTTCCACCCAACCAGAAAAGGAGGAGGAGAACTAACTGGTGGTCACAGGGCTCTGCCTGCCACACCCAGACTCATGAATTTCTTTCCCTTTTCCCCCAGTATCTTGTCTGTGATCCTGTCTTGGAAAGTGGAGTAGATTCTTTGTTACATTTCAACCCTGTGATTTTGGAGAGCACATAAGGGTTGCCAGATTAACAAGGAACACTTTTTCAGTACAAGTATGTCCACAATATTGCATGGTGCCAGGCATAGTGGCTCACATACCTTGGGAGGCTGAGGCAGGCGGAGCACCTGAGGCCAGGAGTTCAAGACCAGCCTGGCCAATATGGTGAAACCCCATTCTCTACCAAAAGAAAATACAAAATTAGCTGGGCATGGTAGCGGGCACCTGTAATCCCACCTACTTGGGAGGTTTGGGCAGGAGAATCACTTGAACCCAGGAGGTGGAGGTTGCAGTGAGCCGAGATCACCCCACTGCACTCTAGCCTGGGTGACAGAGCAAGACTCCATCTCAAAAAACAAATAAACAAACAAACAAAATATTGCATGGGACATACTTGTACTAAAACATTATTTGTTGTTTATGTGAAATTCAAATTTAACTAGGCGTCCTGTATTTTTATTTGCCAAATCTCACAACCCTGTAAATGAGCCATCTCTATGTTCTCAGTAGCTCCTATTCCTGATTGAGTTGGGGTGGTTCTAGTTTGGGGGTGATTAGCTCTGCTATAGCACCTGTGAACCTTCACCCCTCAGGAACCATCCTTCCAGCAATGTTGAGGTATAGGCTTGTCAAGAATGGCCGGGCATGGTGGCTCACGCCTGTGATCCCAGCACTTCGGGAGGCCGAGGCAGGCAGATCACCTGAGTTCCGGAATTTGAGACCAGCCTGGCTAACATGGTGAGACCCTGTCTCTACTAAAAATACAAAAATTAGCCAGGTGTGGTGGCGCATGCCTGTAGTCCCAGCTACTTGGGAGGCTGAGGCAGGAGAATCACTTGAACCTGCAGGTGGAGGTTGCAGTAAGTCAAGATCACACCATTGCGCTCCAGCCTGGGTGACACAGTAAAACTATGTCTCAAAAGCAAAACGAGAAAGAGAATGAAGTTCAGGGGTCAAGGGCAACAACAGCTTTTTGGTGTTTCTTCTGTGTCCTTGGCAGTAGTAGTCTATTCTAACCACACATTGATGATATATTATTTCATGAAGTATAATTTTGATTCTTTCCTTTATCATGCAAGTCTGAACACAAGCTTGGCACTGTGTCTGCCCATAGCCCTCCTTCACTGACTCAGTGAGTGTTCTTTGCACACCGGCTCTGAGGTGCCAGGGCCCGGGGCACAAGGTGGCCCAGATAGGAGGGGCACAGAGCCCCAGTGCAGGAGAACAAGCCAGGCCTTCAGAGCTCACACATTGTAGCAAACCCCCAGAATCCTAGAGAGAGTGGGTGCTGCTTGAATCAGTGGAAATCCTCCATTGTAGAATGTTCTGTGTTTTTGCTTTCAAATGCAGGTACCCAAGATCGTGTCCCCAGAAGTCCCAAAGTGTGCTTTCATGGTTAAATTGGTAATTCATATACTCATGGTTTATTCACAAAAAAAGATTAAAGTACTTAAAAATGATCTCCAGAGCAGTGAAGCATCCCCTCTCTTTCCCAATCCTGTTCCTATAGTTGACTCTGTTTTACAGAAAATCCTAATCGTTCCCAGTTTAATTGATGTGATAAGTCATTCCAGGGCTCAGTTAGGGCCCAAACCAACACAACTTCAGGACTGGAAATGTGGCTTTGCTCCTGAAAGATGAATCTGGTAGAAGATCTAGGAGGCAAGCTCGTGTGCAGCACAAGCATGTCGTGATGTGGTCTAGGGCCCTGATGTGTGTGAACAAAGCCGACTTCCCCTGCTCTCCCATCCCCACACCGACTCCTTGCCGCCCCAGCAAGCTGGTGTCCTGGTAAATTCTCTGGTGCGAGTCTTCCCCTGCAGTCCTCACTCCTCTGCCCTGCCCATGTCTCCCTGCCAGGGGTCGGCCATCCTCCAAGCCATCTGCTCCCAGGGTGACCTTAATCCTGCCACAGGCCTGACCACAGGTCCCTGGTCATCTCCTTTGTCCCCTGCCATTCCCGTCTGCATAATTCCCTCCTCCCTTTTTTTTATTTAGAGACAGAGTCTCACCCTGTTGCCCAGGCTGGAGTGCAGTGGTGTGATCTCAGCTGACTGCAGCGTCTGTCTTCTGGGTTCAAATGATTCTTCTGCCTCAGCCTCCTGAGTAGCTGGGGCCACAGGTGCATGCCACCATGCCTGGCTACTTTTTGTATTTTTTGTAGAGATGGGGCCTTACCATGTTGGCCAGGCTGGTTTTGAACTCCTGGCCTCAAGTGATCCTCCTGCCTTGGCCTCCCAAAGTGTTAGGATTACAGTCATGAGCCCGGCCTCAGTTACTTTTTATCGGAGATGTGGGTAGATGAAGCTCTGTGGCCATGCATTGATTCTTTCTCATTCCTAACTTCAAACTAGCCCTAGGTGTTAGTTACCCAATGCACGGTGGAATCCATGAGTTATAAATCAATGTCTTAGGCTGGGTGTGGTAGCTTATGCCCGTAATCCCAGCACTTTAGGAGGCCAAGGCAGGTGGATCAGGAGGCCAGGAGTTTGAGACCAGTGTGGCCAACATAATGAAACCCTGTCTCTACAAAAAATACAAAAATTAGTTGGGCATGGCGGTGCATGCCTGTAATCCCAGCTACTCGGGAGGCTGAGACAGGAGAATTGCTGAACCTGGGAGGCTGAGGTTGCAGTGAGCTGAGATCACGCCATTGCACTCCAGCCTGGGGTGACAGAGACGCTCTCTCTAAATAAATAAGTAAATAACTCACTATTTGTACAAACTTAGGTTTCAACTTTGTACAAATCTATTATAATTTTGACCTGAAAATTTGGCTTCAAAAGTGCTTCGAGTATCTGGTGCTGTTTTGCTTGTTTAACACATAGACTTGTGACTTTCTCACATTTTATCTGCAAACAGAATTTCTGTACTTTCATCAGCGCGGCCAGTAAGTTTGCGCAGCTCCATTGTCTGTGGAAGACGAGAGACTCGGGAGCGGTGAGTGCGCTGACTTGGAGCCTCTCCTCCTACACCTGTGCAAGTAAGACCTGGATTCAGACGGTGGGGAGGCCTCGGGCAGCACGTGTCTGCCTAGTGGGGTGTTAAGTTGGTGTTGAAGTGACGTGGTCCCTGGCACTTATAGCTATTCAGCTAGAACCTCCTAAGTGTATCCATATTTACAAAGACGACTTAATGCACACTGCTCTCCATCTTCTGTAAGATCTAAGTTGCCAAGAAAAGTGAAAGCATATTTTTCTCCAAAACTCTGGCCTGATATTAATAGTTCTCTCTTCTTTGAAATTTATCAAGAGGTTGTATATTGAATGTATTAGTTTATCTTAAAAATTTGAATCTTTATGATATAACAAGTTTTAAAAGGTGAAAATCATACAGTGACTTTTGAGAATGAATAGAATGTGCAGCAGTGGAGATTTTTGGCAGTCATGTTGTTTGGTCTCAGCTTTAGGATTTTCTGTGTTCATTTGGATTCTTACAAAAACTACCTAAAATACGTATATGGTATATGTAGGTAGAAACATTTTTGTAATTCGGAGTAGCTGGGATTATAGTCATACATCATGCCTGGCTAATTTGTGTATTTTTAGTAGAGATGGGTTTTCACCATGTTGGCCAAGCTGGTCTCGAACTGCTGACCTCAAGTGATCCACCTGCCTTGGCCTCCCAAAGTACTGGAATTACAGGTGTGAGCCACTGCACCCAGCCAACTTTTTTTAGAGACGGGTTCTCACTATGTTGGCCAGGCTGGTCTCAAACTACTGGGCTCAGGTGTTCATCCCACCTCAGCCTCCCAAAGTGTTGGGATTACAGGTGTGAGCCACTGCACCTGGCTCTGTATGTCTTTTTTGGAGAATTGTCTATTCAGATCGTTTGCTCATTTTTTTTTTTTTTTGAGATGAAATCTCCCTCTGTCACTCAGGCTGCGGGACAGTGGGGTGATCTTGGCTCACTGCAACTTCCACTTCCTGAGTTCAAGTGGTTCTCCTGCCTCAGCCTCCCTGAATAGCTGGGACTACAGGCATGCATCACCATGCCTAGCTAACTTTTTTTTTTTTTGTATTTTTGGTAGAGATAAGGTTTCACCATGTTGGCCAGGCTAGTCTTTAACTCTTGACCTCAGGTTTTTTTAGATGGAGTTTTGCTCTTCTGCCTGGCTGGAGTGCAGTGGCGTAATCTTGGCTCACTGCAACCCCTGCCTTCTGGTTTCAAGTGGTTCGCCTGCCTCAGCCTCCTGAGTGGCTGGGATTACAGTCGCCTGCCACCATGCCTGGCTAATTTTTGTATTTTTTGTAGAGATGGGGTTTCACCATGCTGTGCAGGCTGGTCTCCAACTCCTGACTTCTAGTGATCCGCCCGCCTCGGCCGCCCAAAGTGCTAGGATTACAGGTGTGAGCCACCGTGCCTGGCCCTTTGCCCATCTTTTAATCAGATTATTTGTTTGAGCTTCTTACATGTTTTGGTCATTAACCCTTACCAGATGTGTGGTTATTAACAGTCTTTTAAAAAGTTTGCTTGAGAGTCCTTGTTGGCCACTTTCCTAACTGAAGTCTTCTGTCTACTTATATGATCGTTTTCTTCGATTTAAATTGATGATTTAATCAACAACTATTTATATGGAGGTGTCTGTGTGTAAAGCCTTGGTTTATCAAATGTGTCAACAAAACATTTTATAGGATTTGGTCTCTGCCCTTCAGGGGCTTGCAGTTTAGTTGGAAGATTAAGACCAAAAAACTACGATGTCAATATGTGCTGAAAGCAGAATGTGCTAGCGGAGAGAGAGGCTTTGATGGGCTGGCTCTGGGCCAGGAGAGGCACGCCTTGAGTTGCGGGCAGTGGTCTTCTCTAACTCCCAAATCGTGCTGCTCTCTGCTTTGGTATTTTGGTTTAAACTGTTACTCCAGTTTCCTAAATGTTTCCTAAGTGAAGGGCTATACCACACCAGTGAACTAAACAAAATAGTTCTAGTTAGACCCTTGGAAAAATCTTCCCCTTTTCTGGCCCTCACTTTCCTTATCTATAAAACGCAAGGATGTAATTCACTGATTTGAAAACATTGTTTTTAATTAGTGGGAGCCTTTCTTTAAAACTACCCAGACCCTCCATTTGTAAATAAGAATTGTTAGACTTGCTTTTGGAGGGTGGGGGGTTGCGGGTTAGCACAGACAGTAGAAGGGAGCTCAGCCTTTCCAGGTTTCCCCGGGCAGCGCGCATGCACTGTCAAAGTACCTTCCCTTACGAGTAGTTTTAAAACCACTGGGATGGGATGCATGGCTGTTTGTTTTGTTTTGGGATGGAGTCTGGCTCTGTCACCCAGGCTGGAGTGCATTGGTGTAATCTCAGCTCACTGTAACCTCCCAAGTAGCTGAGATTACAGGTGCCTGCCACTACACATGGCTAATTTTTGTACTTTTAGTGGATACAGGGTTTTACCATGTTGGCCAGGGTGGTCTCAAACTCCTGACCTCAGGTGATCCGGCATTTCGGGGTTTTATATAGTTATGAAATACAGCACTATTTGGTTTTCTGCACTACCAAACTTTTATCAAGAATAGTTAATATGTATTGGTAAAAAAAAAAAAAAAAGAATAAAAATAATTAGAAAATAATAGCCTCTATATATTGGGAAACTAAAAGGGAAGGACATTATTAACTAAACCCCAAAATGTCTGAGAGGCAAGTTATTTACGCTGCAAATTTTCTTTTACAGCAAGAATAATCACAACCTTAATGACCACCAATGATTTTACAAGTAAGCCAAAGATCTTCTTCTCACTTCCTTTTTGAGTTTTGTGGTACTTATGCCTCCTTCATTAGTAAACTGTCTTCAGGTTTAATGGATGGACTTGGCTCTACTGGATTATGGATTTAGAAGATGGCAACAATGTATTTCTAGTCTTACTGGTCACCATTTTTATTATTAAGCTCTCTTATAGTACAGGGAATAGAATATGCACAAGATAATAGATTCCTGTCTCCATGAAGCTTCCATTTAAGCAGTGGAATTGGACATGAGGTAATCACACAATTCCCTATTGAATTATCAGGGGCCATGTTTTGGAAGAGTAGGGCAGGATGAGCATCTAAGGAGAACCTGGCCTAGTTTGAGGGAGCTGGGCAGATTAATTTGAAGAAGAGCGATCGTAAGGATGAGAAGAGGTTTAGCCAGAAAGGTTGTGGGGGACGGGGAGGCAGGGGAGGCCAGACTCGTACAAGGAGCAGTGTGTGAAGGTCATGAGCAAAGGACAAAGGGCTAGAGTGCGGAGAGCAGGGGGACAGCGACAAGCGGGTAAGTTTCAGGAGAGGAAGGATGTGAGGCTGGCAGTGGCCCAGGTATCCAGGGCCTACAAGAACCGCCTACAAACAGCAGGAAGCCTGCGGAGGCTTTGAAGCAGGGAAGTGGTGTCACCAGTGGACTATGTTCTTGTTCTGTTTCTTTAAAAGGAAAAGCTATGATGGAAGAGGAAATACTTTGATTAACCACAAAGAATTTAGTAATTCCTTAGGCTGTTTTCAACCCCCGAATCAAGCATATATGATATATCTTTGGAAATGATTAGAACAGATGGTGTGAACTGTGAAGATCAGAAAATGTCCCCAGCACGTAGACCTTTTAAATGAGCTAATTATTATTTGAGAAATACTGCTTCAGAACAGAGATATGTTTGTCATCTCTTCCTGGAGGTTATACCTTTGCTCAGATACTTTTTGTCAGCTCTGATGGTAGGACTAAAATTGTTCTGGTCAAAGCATAAACTTTGATTAAGTGGGAAATGGGAAGGAAGACAGGCTTGGGTCTTTCCACAGGGCTTGAAGTAGCGTGGAAAGGAGAGTCAAACCACAAGTAAACAACAAAACCTATACATTAGAAATTAAGTTTAAAAGATCAAGATTGTTCTAATTGCGATTTATTTCTTACCTATGACAGCTGTTCTTGAAAGTGATCAGTATATCTGGGATAACTTTTTTGTTTTTTTGAGATGGAATCTCGCTGTTAACCAGGCCGGAGTGCAGTGGTGCGATCTCGGCTTACTGCAGCCTCTGCCTCCTGGGTTCAAGCGATTCTTTTGCCTCGCCTCCAGCGTCGCTGGGACTACAGGCATGCACTACTATGCCTGGCTAATTTTTTTATTTTTAGTAGAAACGGGGTTTCACCATGTTGACCAGGATGGTCTCGATCTCTTGACCTCGTGATCCACCCGCCTCGGCCTCCCAAAGTGCTGGGATTACAGGCTTGAGTCACCGCACCCGGCCACAAAGATATATTTTAAATCTCATTAAACCTTATTTATCAGGAGTGTATCTGTACCTTAAAGTGGAAGTTAAGTCACTGTTAAAGTTATATGTATATATATATTTTATTTTTCCACAAAGAGACACATTTTTATGGTTACTTCAATATAAAGTATGTCTTGTCATTTGGGCCAATTTTTTCAGAATTATCTTAACAGAACATATTAAACCACCTTTGCTTAACATGGAATGTTCTGAGACACCAGCACCTCAGGACTGCAAATGAGTAAAGGGATTTTTAAAAGTTAGAACCCTTGACAGGCTGGGTGCAGTGGCTCATGTCTGTAATCCCGGCACTTTGGGAGGCCAAGGTGGGTGGATCACTTGAGATCAGGAGTTTGAGACTAGCCTAGCCAACATGGTGAAACCCCATCTCTACTAAAAATACAAAAATTAGCCAGGCGTGGTGGTGGGTGCCTGTAATTCCAGTTGCCTGGGAGACTGAGACAGGAGAATCGCTTGAGCCCAGAAGGTAGAGTTTGCAGTGAGCTGAGGTCACACCACTGCACTACAGCCTGGGTGACACAGTGACAGAGCAAGACTCTATCTCTCCCCCCCCAAAAAGTCATAACCCTTCAATTGAGCACTTAAGAGGATAAATTATGATTTATGATGTCAGGGCAAGTGGCCAAAATTTGTCATTATGATAGGAAGATCATTTCCCCAGGAACCAAAATTGTTCATTTTGGGGGTTGGGGGTGAAGCTTTATTTAGGCTTATACTTAGAGCAGGAGGTAGTTTAGCTCTATATTGTGAAGGTTTTTAATATACTTTTTAAATTGATTTCAGTTCTTATACGTTTTGTGATCATGCTGGCTTTAAATATATGGGTAACAGTGACAGTACTTCGCTACCGGAAAACCGCCATGAAGGCTGAATGATGGACACATTAATTCCTTTACACTGTGGATGCCGAGTAACTGAACCAAAGGAAAAAGAAGCTCTTTGCTAAATTAGGGTCTTTTATAAATTTAGTAAATCAGTTTAGACTCTTTGAAGCCAAAGACTTTTTTAGGCTTGAAAGAGCCATTTAAGTACAACAATCCCGATTTCCCTCCTCCTTCCTCACTTCATTAGGTTATGGTAGCGCCCAGCCATCTGCAGTGTTGAGGCCGGTGACTGTTGGAAGTCATCCAGGAAGCCCATTTCAAGGCCATTTTGACTCTTACCCTTGAAGTCATGATAAAGTTCTCTACAAAGAACTTAACTACATCGATGTTTTTGGCTTTCAGAATCTTTTAGGAAATAAATCCTCTCCATGACAAAAATGAACATGAATGGAGTGGCATTTTTTCCAAGTCAGAGGTGGACACCCATAATAAATGACTAGGGTTCACTTTCTGGGACTGATGTTTAATTTTAACATAGATACAACAGGATGGCCTTGTTTTCTATATTACCATATTACACCTGCATGCGCTCTAGCAAGGATACCAAGGCAGGCATAAATGTAACTGGCTTGAGTTTGTATACCAAAATAGTCCTTCAACTTCGCACTGTGCCTTAAGTAATTCCTAACAAAAGGTATGAGGATTTGCTGTAATATCTACTGAGGAAATCCCAATAAGCTTTCTGATTCAAGTACATTGCTGCCATTTTTTTTTTTTTTTTTTTTTGGGATAAGAGTCTTGCTCTTGTTGTCCAGGTTGGAATGCAGTGGTGCGATCTTGGCTCACTGCAGCCGCCGCCTCCTGGGTTCAAGCGATTCTCCTGCCTCAGCCTCCTGAGTAGCTGGGATTACAGGTACCTGTCACCACGCCCAGCTAATTTTTGTATTTTTTGTAGAGATGGGGTTTCAACATATTGGTTAGACTGGTCTTGAACTCCTGACCTCGTGATCCGCCTGCCTTGAGCTCCCAAAGTGCTGGGATTACAGACGGTGAGCCACGGCGCTCAGCCTGATGCTGCCATTTTTTAAAGGGCCACAACCATAGAATTACCACTGTTGGAATTTGGTACAAAATAAGTTTTGTCTATTGAAAACATATACAGTAAAGGGTGTTGTTAGGTAGGTTCTGCCCAATTCTTATGGATTTTACTCACATTATGGTATTTTTTTACCCTAAACATAAGATAATTATATACTGTATTTTCTTCTAAATTAATGTTTAAAAACTCACTTTCCCCTTTTAATTGAAGACATTGTTTTGTTATATGCAGTAATGATGTTTACCAGAAATTGTTTCCTATGCAAAATAAATTTTCATATTTTGAATTCTGCTGAGTCTTAAAACTGTCAATCATTAATATGACTATTTTATGTAAGCTGTAGTTTTTAAACGAGCTGGTTAATCCTTTTAGAACCACTGCTTGGGACCAACAGGAAGAGAAACATGGTATCTAAAAACAAAATTATTCATTCTATAGTTAAAATTACAGATGTCATATTTTTAAACATCCAAGTTAATCGTTTTTCATTTGCAGTTATAATCTGACCATTAGCATCAATACAAATTATGATTTTTTTATTCCAACACGTTTTATTTAGCTAACATTAGTACTTCATCATTGCTTAAAAAAACTAAAAGCCGACTTAGGTGACGAGGTCTGTTTTTCCCCCTTTGTAAGGTAACAAACACTCGAGTCACTTCAGACATTTTACACACATTATCATTCTTAATCTGGTGGTGATCCCGTAAGAGAGACACAATCTCCATTTTACAGATAAAACCACTGAGGCTCGGAATGAATAACCTGCCTAAGATCACATAGCAAGTAAGTGCTCTAGAAAAGGTTCTACTGATTGCCAAACACTTTCTAGAAAACCACCTATCAGCACACTATTTCCTGACGAACAGATATCCCTCTTTTCCCCCGTCCTCACCAATTCAAACGAGTTTGTTATGTTTGTGTGCCTCTTAAAACACCCAAATCAAATCAGAGACAGGCTCCTGGCTGCAGTTTGGCGTTTCTCCATGAATTAAATGATAGGGCAGAAGAATCACAAGTCTGCAGCCTTAGTTGTAAGACTTATTTACTATCCTCATCCTGTCGTTTATACCCATCTTATAGGGAAAGCAAATGTTTTAGGTAAACTTTATAAGGTTGCTGTATTCCAGGACTGCATTTCATAGGAATAGTATGAAAATGCTTATGTCTCCATTTCTTTTATTTTATAAAAAGCAAGCATAAAATACAATCACATTACTACAAAGATGCAATAACATTAAAAAAAAGGGGGGTGCAATTTTTGTTCAAAGGGGATAGCTGATCAAATATTTATGATTTCCTAAACCATGCAGCTCGTGACTTATTATAATTCCAAACAAAATTCATTATTATGGGGATGGGAATCAGGGAGAGGCCCCCCAAGCATAACATCCAGCGCTGTCACATAGTGCTTATATTCAAAGTGCTTACAAATGGTGTCTTCACAGCACAGGGAAGCTGAAGCCTTATTCCAGGGAAGGAGAGGTGAGTCAGCAGCAGTGTCAATGCAGACTGAGAAACTCGGTAGTGACTTGCTCAAATCAGATTTTAGACACAATTTAGAGCATGTTTCAATAAGGTTAATATAGTGTCCGAGTTTCTCTACTTTATCACCAGAATCCTGGAAGAGAATAACAGCAGCAACATGACTTCTTAAACTGTGGTGTGGCCACCTAGAGTACTTCTGTTTAGGATCTATAGATAAATGGATGCAAAACAGATACTTTAGAGCCAGATTCCTGTAACTCTAACACAGGTTAGTTTTAAAAGCACTAACCTTTATTTTGGCTTTACTGGTGTGCTTATCCATTAGTTAGCTAGAACATTTTAAAACTTTAATATGGATTTTAAAAACTTGTTTCTAGAGAACATGGTTTATTTAAATTAACACTTTAAAAACACTATACATTAATTTCAATAGTAATACCAGCACCAGTTTCCCGTTCACTTGTCTCGTTATCCCCACAAGACCAAAGTAAAAAATACAATCAAGAAAATCCCAGTATTCATGATTTCTTAGTTCCCCATAGGAGGTATTTATGGCTCTAGGAGAAGTCAGGTATGAAGAAACAAGCAAATTTTAGTCTTACAAATATTTATCTTGGAAGCTTTAGGGCCTCAAGAAAAAAGAGAAACGAGCACAAAATCAGGTTGTTTCGTATTTAATGAGTGTTGGAAAGAAAACACGTTGATAGGTGCATGCATTCATGTATGTACATGAAAGCGGCAATGCGGTAAAAAGCGAATTCTTACCCAAGGTCAGAATGTTTTATTAAGCACATTTTCATTAGTTGGACAAACAACCTTATAAACCCTCATGTCGAACCATATAATGTGAAGAATCTCCATGGGAGAGATTTTTTTTTTCACCCTTCGGAATTATCTTTTTCATCAAGACCTTCACATGAATCTTCCTTGTACAGTTGGTCACACCATGATTCCCCATATTCTCTAATATATACAGCATCCCAAATTTAACTTTTGCCTTTTTTACTCAAATATTTCAGTTACTCGTGTAAACTTGAAATTATTTCACCTTAATAAAGTTTATTAAAAATATATATATATATATATATATATACTCTCCAATTCAGAATAGGATAGAGCCTTCCATAATGTAACAAAATCTTTATATAAAATATTAATTCAGTCTCCTTTTAACAATTCTAATGAATGGAAATATTTATTCTATATAAATTTTATATATTTTTCATTTTTTAATCTTACTTAAAAAAAAGCTGTCCCCCAAAGCCAGAGCTGCAGAACACAGCTGCGAGGGAGACGGCATGCACATCCAGTCTGAGCACAGAGAGCATCAGAGCGCAGACTGGAGAACTCAAGAACACAAAATCAGTTTCAGGGTATCAGTAGGCCAGCGGCTGCTCTTCAGTCTCCACAATAGTATCAATCATGGGGATCTAACTCTTCAAACATCTCTAATTGACCTCAGAGAGAATCAATGAAAAATGTCTACTTCCTTCATTGAAATATTAATTATTATTATTATTTTCTGAGACAGCGGCTCACTCAGCTGCCCAGGCTGGAGTGCAGTGGTGTGATCTTGGCTCATTGCAACTACCATCTCCCAGGTTCAAGCGATTCTCTCGTCTCAGCCTCCCAAGTAGCTGGGATTACAGGCACCAGCCATCATGCCCAGCTAATTTTTGTATTTTAGTAGAGACAGGGTTTCATCCTGTTGGCCAGGCTGGTCTTGAACTCCTGACCTCAGGTGATCTGCCCGCCTCAGCCTCCCAAAGTGCTGGGATTATAGGTGTGAGCCACCGCGCCCAACCAATGTATTTCAATATCATACCAAACTCTGTGTGTATTTATATAAAGAAAGACTGATAAAAGACTTCATAATTTAAAAAAAAAACCAAAAAACAAAAACTTGATGCTCACCATTGCTGCATACTGTTGCAGTATAAAACATATACTTATCTGGGATCACGAGAATATAGCAAGAATGGTCCTGCATAAACTAACTGTGACAGCATTTTAAAAATAAAATCAAATTAAGGGCCTTTGAGGCCACTTCTTCCCAGTTACCAGTTTTCTTAACCCAGTGCTAAAATACTGCCACACACAGTTGTATGTCTGAGGATCATATTATCGTATTTTAAATGTATCTATAGTATGTCTTAGTTTTCCTTATATTTGGAAAAATGTTTGAATCTTAAGTGTGAAAATGTAATCACAAATGTCTTTACTAGGAATAAAAACACATCTAGGGTAGCCAGCAAATTTAAAGCAAAGAAAATATTTTGTAGTCACAGACTAATACTGAAGTCTGTAAAAACTGCTGAATGAATAATAGACGTCAAGGATATATTAGTTTCAACACCATCCATTAATTTCTATAACCAATAATACTTTAAAAAATTTGTTAATCAAAATAGGCTGACATTGATATAACTATGTGTAAAAATAGTGCATGATTTCTCTTCCACAAAGCTAGTTTGATCCTAAAAGCTGGTAAACACTTTTTTTTTTTTTTTTTAAAATACAGAAAGGGCCGAAACTTTGAAAACAATTAAATTAAGGCATTCAAAATGGGTAAAGTTGCCTATCATGAAGCATTAGGGAACTGATATAATTAACTTTAAATTTCTTGTTACAGTAACTGCTTAAACATGAACATGCAACTTCCATCAGGTACACAGGAATGAGTGATAGAAACTCCAACATTATGGCTTTATACAACTGCATAGTTGCAACTCCAGTAAGTAATGACATCTGATTGTGTATAAAAAAATAAAGTGGGCAGTTTAAAAAACCTTCTTGCAGTATTCGAGTACTATATATATATATATATATATAGACGTTTATATATATATACACAGTATAAGGGTCATTTCTTAAAGATGCAGTCAGTGTCACTGTAGTGGAAGCCATTCCCAGATTCTTCGGGTAAATGTGCTGGTGAAATCTCTCTGTTGAAGCTAGAAAAGCTGTTTTCTTTAGACTTTAACTCTTCTCAATCGTTGTGTGCATTGTAGTGTAAGTGACTGCCAAGACAGCTTTATGGAACAAGTCTGGAAGAGTTGCATATATCCTCAGTCTATCAACCAATCACTGTTGGTTCAACTTGTTGCTTCACAGGAGCCCAGAAAATCTCTCCAAGATTTGTAATTTATATTACAGGGAAAAGGGGAACACATATATGTATGAGTGTATGTATCAG